CTGCACACCTTGAATTATTGATGTTCCTTCCCCAATTTTCACTCCTCCTTCAACTGAATCTAGTCCTGCTTTCTTTATATGTCTATAGGCAAAGAACAGCCCATTGCGTCTCATGATCCACACAGGCAGAGGATATTTACAGTATGATCTCAAGTACCTCTTCCTTTCTGAAACAGAGCTTGACCATCAGGCCTTTTTTGCTTGATATAAGTCTGTGTTGAACACCTTACTTATTACTTTGTTTGCATAGGCAATTACACAGTCCTATAGCTGTTAAAAGTCTGTGTTGAACACCTTACTTATTACTTTGTTTGCATAGGCAATTACAACAGTCCTATAGTTGCTGTACACCTTGGCATCTCATTTCTTGAGGACTGGAATGTATATTGAAGATTGCCTGTTTGCGAGCCATTGTTTCATTATTACTTTGTTTGCATAGGCAATTACAACAGTCCTATAGTTGCTGTACACCTTGGCATCTCATTTCTTGAGGACTGGAATGTATATTGAAGATTGCCTGTTTGCGAGCCATTGTTTCATTTTCCACACTTTCTTGAGGACTGGAATGTATATTGAACATTGCCTGTTTGCGAGCCATTGTTTCGTTTTCCACATTTGTTGTCATATTCTTGATAGGATCTTGACAGACTCGTTCTCAGTGGCTTGAAATAGTTCTATTAGTATCCCACCTCTTCCCTGGACCTTTATTTCTTCCCAGTACCTTCAGAGTAGATTTCACTTCACTTTCTAGAATTGCTAATTATTGTAGGATTCCTTTTCGGGTCCCTATAGATACCTCTGCACAGGTCTTCAGTATACTGTTTCCACCTCTACTTTTCCTCTGAAATTATTGTAGGATTCCTTTTCGGGTCCCTACAGATACCTCTGCACAGGTCTTCAGTACGGTGCTTCCACCTCTACTTTTCCTCTGATGAAAAATATGGAGAATAGATAATAGAATGCAACCAAGAACATACATGATTTGTTGCAATAACATTCACCTTAAGTGTGCTAACCTTGCCTCAAATACTAAATCCCATGTCTGGCTCTTTATGTATCTATACCTTAACCTGGTCGTGAGTTTAAATATAATGGGGATACTGTATATACAAACATAAAGATGCAGTTCCACGCCTTGAATTAAGGAAGCAGATTTTGACACAGAAGAGCTCTTATGGAAATAAATCTGTTAGTCGTTGAAAGGCCGCCTTTCTCTATTTCTTTTTCCATTTTATTTCGGTCACACGGTTCAACCAACCCCCTCCTCCCCCCCCAGTTGGGAAACGGCGGAGCTCCCTTACGTCACAACTTGAGCAACCCCAGGATTTCCCCCCCGTCCTTCTCTTTGAAAACACCCAGATATTCGGCTCCGCCCCTTGACCCGCCCCCTTCTCTTCTTCCCTCCCT